TTCCTTAAACTCCGAAAGAAGCGCCTCTTTGTGCTCGGCTAGCTTAGTTGTTAGCGGCGCCATGATAGAGCTAGTAAGGTCATCTCTATTTGACTTTTTTGGGACATTTTCGAACAAAAAAAAGGTGTAAAACACAAAAGGTAAAAGTAACCAAACATAAAACAAGTTTAAAACGGTATAATGGCCAGGTATAAGTTTTAAAGTCAGGGAGTGCGGACTAACACGTTTACTCCATCTGACGGTTAGCGGAAGTCTCAAATCTGACATTTATTGGTCAGAAGTAGAGTAAAGCAGCTGGGCTCTCACAGACAAAGCTCCCGGAGGATCTCAGTCTGGAAGAGCCTGGATTTCTGGGGGTGATGGACAGTTTTCCTCTGGGCCTCCAACAGGAGGACGAGTGTTATTGGCCAGTTAGCTCTGACAGGAACAGGCCAGGTCCTAATTCATGCAGGTTTAGGTGGAATGTGATAAGAAAGTGTGGATGTTGAGCTTAAAGACGAGTATCTACTGTAACAGAGAGAGGAGAAGGAGGCACAGCCAGAGAGTTTAACCCAAAAGTGAATAATATGAATATAAAAGGAATAATACAATCAGTCATTTACATGGTTTAAGTTGTAGCATGCTTTGCTAAAGTGAGTAATTATAGCCCAATTCTAACAGGAAAGGGGAGAAAGCAGCTCAAATCTGTTTGCAGCTTCTCTGGTTTTGTTGAACATGTTACAGAGCCGGCGTGCTAACCCTGAGCCACACTTCCTGCTCTGTTTATGCCCCGCTCATGCTCGGTGTAATTGATAGGATTTGGCTATAAATACTCACTTTAGCATAGTATGCTATCACATGATCTATGTAGATTACTGATTGTTTTATTTTCTTTTATAACTATATTTTTGTGTTGAAATTTCTGGCTGTGTCCACAGACTCTCTATTCTCTCTTTTTTTTCTCTCCTTTTCTTCCTTTGTTACATTAGATCCACGTCTTTAAGTCAACACACACACACACATACACACACACCTTTTGGTACCACATTCCAATTTTATCAACATGAATTATGACTCGGCTTGTTAGTCTTACAGGTAACTAAACAATAGACTCTCTTTTCTCTCTTTTTCTTTTTATGTTGCATTAGATCCATGTCTTTAGGTCAACACACACACACACACACACACACACACACCATTTGTTAGCACATTCCTGTCATCTGCATGAATTAGGACCTGGCCTGTTCGTGCCCAGAGGTAACTGGCCAATAGGACTTGGTTGTGTCCAGTCCTCCTTTGAGGAGGCGGATGGAGCCCAGGAGATAATGCCCATCACCCAGATCTCAGGGCTCTTTGCCCACTGAGACCCAGAGAGAGCTGATCTACTTTACCTGTGACCCGATAAATGTTGATTTTTTACTCTCGATCGACTCTGGTTTATTCTCAGGTTTCCAGCTAAAGAATCGGGTTAACATAATAAAGCCTCCTCCAGACAATGTGCAGTCATAACTGGGTCATTTCCACTGTGGGAAAAAGAGGATCGAGTCCACACTCGAGACAAGCCATCCATTTTCCCTCCTGTATTTGTTCCTGTCCTCCGTCGCTCCCACTGTCTGCTTCCTCTCTCCCTCCGTTCTCTGGGATCCTGGGGAAAGTCCCACTCGCTCGCCCCGTCCCTCTCTCTTTCTCTCTCTCTCTCTCTTTGCCTCCATGCATTCCTTCTCCGAGTGGAAGGCCGGGGCCCCTTCACTCTGCAGGAACTCCGGAGTCTGTGCGTGTTTTTCAAACTGTGTGAGAAAATGCCCGTTTTTTCTAATTGCACCCCGAGTGTTGAAAGTCGTCGCTTATAGCCGTGTCACTAAATATAACAATAGACAGTAAAAGGCAGGAAGCTGCCGTTAAGGGGCTTTGCGTGCGTGCGTGCGTGCGTGCACGTGCACGTGCACGCCCGTCTGTCTCCAATTGCTTCTCCAGCTGCGAGCCCCCGGCAGGCCAAATGTAATCAGCCCGGTGCAGCTGCACATTTCTCTCACTCAGTGGACTAAAACCATTTCGCCTTGTTAATCTCCTGACTGATGTCTTCATGCGGAGTTACAGTTACACAGGACACTTTATGGGAGGACATGAAAGTTCATATTGTTTTACCATACGCGCCTTTTTTTGCAAATGGCTCGAAAGAGCCGTTCAACTGCCAGTCCCACTTAATTACCTAAACCGGGAGAGACGGCGTTCATTAGCACAAGAGGGGTGTTTTGGATATCCCAGTCAAGATCGTTTTTACTCCAATCCAAGTGACTTAGTGTTCCATATATGCTAATATGGATTGGCAATCCTATGCATTTAATTTAAAGCAGGACGTAGCTTGTGTATTTTTCTAATTGCCCATCAGAGTTGCGTCATGTGTGGTTAAGCTAGGACATCCTCAAAAAAAGTGTAGGGAGAAAAGAAATTGCCCCCTTTTGCTACAAAAAAAAGAAGCCAACTTGAGCTAGCTGAGGCAAGCTAGCACGTCCAGCCAAGTATGTAGGCCCCCGTGTAAATGAACAATACTGAATGAATGTTTGTAAGTGCCTC